ATAGTGTTTCATTAAAGACTGTAACATTTTATTATCTTTATCAGATACTGTCCAATTGTTCTTCAAAGTAGCTGTACTGATTTATGATTTCTCCAGTAACATTGGAGATTTTATATTTCTCTGACATTTGGTAACAGATACTAGCATTTAACTGATGTGAAATAATACCTCATTATAGTTTAAATTTGCATTTCTCTGACTACTCATATGGCTCAAACATCTTTTCATATCGTTAGTAGCTATTTGGGTTTTTTCTTCTGGGAAGTGCCTATTGCCTGTTTTGCCTTTGGGTTGCTTGTCTTATACTCATTGATTCGCAGAAATTCTTTCTTTCTTTCTCTCTATCACTCCTTCCTTCCTTCCTTCATTTCTGATTTTATTTTTAAGTAATCGCTACGCCCAGTGAGGGGCTCGAACCCACAGCCCTGGATCAAGAGCCACATGCTCTATTGACTGAGCCAGCTGGGTGCCCCTGCAGAAATTCTGTCTCTACTCTGGATACAAATTTTTTGTTAAGTAAATAGGATGCATTTTTCTTCTCTGTCTGTGCTTAATCTCTTCATTTCTTTTTCTTTCTTTCTTTTTTTTTTTTTATGATTTATTTATTTATTTGACAGAGATCACAAGTAGGCAGAGAGGCAGGCAGAGACAGAGAGAGGGGGAAGCAGGCTCCTGCTGAGCAGAGAGCCCTATGTGGGGCTCGATCCCAGGACCCTGAGATCATGACCTGAGCTGAAGACAGAGCCTTAACCCACTGAGCCACCCAGGCGCCCCTTAATCTCTTTCATTTTTAAAAGGATGCCTGCTTTTTATGTCTTACAAAATCTTTTTGTAATTGGAGGTTATAGATTTTCATTTAGACTTTCAAATCCAGAGCTTTAGTACAAGCGGAATTGACTTATAAATGATATGAGGAAAGGATCCCTATTTCCCCCCTATGTGTATTGAATAAGCAGTTGTCCCAGCACCATTTCTGAATGTCAGTGTCCTTTCTCTGTTGATTGGCAGGACCCCCTCAGTCCTCTGTGTGTGGGCTGATTTCTGAGTTCTCACCTGTGTATTGGCTGCTCTATTATGTATGCCGGTACCATATTATATTTGTATAAAACCTTCATGTCTGGTAAGGCAACTTCCTCCAACTGGTTGTTCTTAAAACTTGTATTGGCAGAGCGCCTGGGTGGCTCAGTGGGTTAAAGCCTCTGCGTTAGGCTCAGGTCATGATCCCAGGGTCCTGGGATCGAGCCCCACATTGGGCTCTCTGCTCAGTGGGGAGCCTGCTCCCCTCTCTCTCTCTGCCTGCCTCTCTGACTACTTACGATCTCTGTCAAATAAATAAATAAAATCTTAAAAAAAACACCAAAACTTGTATTGGCTATTTTGAACCTTCTCCTCCTCCTTCACCTAGGTTTAAAATCAGCTTGCCACAGTCCATGGCAAATTATTTTTAAGTTTTTGATTGGACTTCTAGTAAATTTATAAATTCATGTGAGTGTCTATTAACAGCAAGTTTTTTCAGATTATCTAGCGCAGGGTTTCTTAATCTTGGCACTCTTGGTGTCTGCACTTGGATGATTCTTTGTTGTGGAGGATGTACATTGAAGGGTGTTCAGCACCATCCCTGGCCTGATGACCAAAAATGTGACATGTTATTATCAGATGTCCCCTGACGGACAAAACTGCCACGGATCCAGAAATATTGATTTGGCCGATTGCAGAAATTTCCCTTATTTTCTGGAAAGTTTTCATATTTATTTAGATTCTTTCAGATGTAGGTTCCTCAGATGGGAATTTATTTGTGTTGTCTACTGCCGTGGTGATTTTTATCTTTGGGCATGACACGTTTTTAAGCATGAACTTGCCTCCTGTGGAATGGATGTCTTCTATGCCCTGGGTTATGAAGGCAGCCTTGTGGGGTGGTTTTGAGTTTGCCTCTGAAGGTCTTACAGGCTTCCCTAGTTTGAGAGTGATTTTTATGTTAATGTCTTGGTTTGGGATTGAAAGAAACCCCAACACAGTAGTGATTCCTTGGACCCTAACCCTCCTTCTCCCTTCCATGCTCCCCTTTCTCAAGTGCCTGCCACCTTTAGCTATAAGTAACCGCCTTGACGGTACCCTGACATGGATATTGGTATTTGCCTGGAAGTTGGACTGACTCAGCACGGGATCTGTAGTTTTCCTTTTCATATTTTTTCTGAATATGCCAGATGCTACCACTGAGTAATTTGGACTTTGCTGCCAAACTATACCTCCATTAGTACAGAGGGAAGACAGCATGCCAGTTCTCTCGCTGAGTGTGCGTGACTGGCAGAAAGTCCTGGTATGATGGTTGGAGGGAACAAACGGAGCAGATGATTTTTTCTTTTTTTGAGCAGATAATATTTTTAAAAAATGATTATCTAATGTTGTTAACTTCTTGACGGCATTGTTATATCATTGACGACCATGAATCACCAAAGTTGGCTACTCTTTTTTAAAAATAGGGAATTAGGGGCGCTTGGGTGGCTCAGTTGGTTAAGTGTCTGCCTTCTGCTCAGGTCATGATCCCCCTGTCCTGGGATCGAGTCCCACTGTAGGGAGATAGGCTCCCTGTTCAGCTGGGAGTCTGCTTCTCCCTTGTCCCTCTGCCCCTCCCCCCTGCTTGTGCTCTCTCTCTCTCCTCAAATAAAAAAGTAAAATCTTTAAAAAAATAAATAAAAATAAGGAATTGAACACTTGATTTCTCTTTGGTTCTTTTTCAGATAAGTCTTGTGAATTTGGATAATGTCTCATTTATTCCTCTTGTGTTTAATGACCTCTTACTTATTTTATACCTTCTGGTGGGTATGAATATTTTATAGATGGATTTATAGTGACTACTAACAAAATTGTGACTTTTGGTCAATAGAATAAGTACTTGACTTCCTTCCATGGAAATAGTTTATATTATCGTTAGCCTGTGAATAAAGTATGAACGTAGGGTCTCTAGAATGCATAAATTTGTTACTAAGTTTTCAGATTAAAAAAAAAATAAAAGTAGTCTGAGGGCCACTTTTTCTACTTTCATTGAGCAGTCATTTAGTAAATTCCATTTCTCCAGTTACTCATAATGGCTGTATAGAAGTGAGGTTTGGATGAATGGGCATGGGATTGGCAAAGACACACCAATACTGATTAGCAAGTAGACATAAGGTAAAATGTCTGTTTTTATTAAGAACTCACCCATTTAACCTGATTGTGGGAAGGCCAATGTGAAAGACATAAATGAATGATCTACTTTATTTATTTATTAAGATTTTATTTATTTATTTAATTGACAAGGGACACAGCAAGAGAAACACAAGCTTGGGGAGTGGGAGAGGGAGAAGCAGGCTTCCCTCTGAGTGGGGAACCTGATTCAGGGACTTGATCCCAGGACCCAGGGATCATGACCTGAGCCGAAGGCAGACGCTTAACACCTGAGCCACCCAGGCGACCCAGATGGTCTACTTTAAAATAAAATATTTTAAATTTTTGAAAAGTAAAATAAAATAAATTTGATTTTGTTACTTTCAGACACTAAAATGCTCATTAATATTTTCATTGATGGGGAACTGTGGATCTCTAGGAACTTGTGTTTACTCTAAGAATCTATTTTGTCTTTTTATCTTTGATAGCAAGAACTACTTAATGTCCCATATACCACCTTTTGCTTTGACTGCCAGGAAACTCAGGGACAAATTCACAGTCTGCTAAAATTTGTTTAGGACTTTCTGGCCTGCATATTTGCTTTGTCTTCTCTATCTTTCCACCCCATTTCGACTTTCTAACCTAATGATTTTTTTAGCCTAATTTTTTCCCCTCATCTCATAGAAAAATTTCTTGTATTTAGTGTTGCTATTACAAGATGCCTCAAATCTATTGTGGATTGGAATTGTGCATAAATAAATAAAATAGCTTCAGTGTTCCTTTCATTAAATATAGCCTGATAATTACATAAATACACTTGTACACAAATAAATACGTAGTAACAGCAATTTACGGTGGGGTTCTGTTTGCAATAATAATAATAATAATAACTATTATTATTATTATTTTTTGCTAAGATAAACTTTTAACCTTAAATGTTCTCTAATAGAAATAGACAAGGTACTCTCTCAGAGCACAAGAGATTATTTAACATAAAATATAGCAATGAAAATTTATTATTTATTTATTGCTATGAAACTTTAAAATAAACAGCGGCTGCCATTTGCAACTTAAATTTTGAAAAAGAATAGGTTGAGCTTCAATGGAACAATTAAGAATACATCTATGGCATTACCTCCCATTGCTCCCACCCAAGTCCAGCCCTGGGAGCGAGAACCTTCCCCAGAGTTTCCATTCTATTTTCTTCCTTCCGCTAATACCCTCAGGAACTCCTGTGATAATTGCTGGCTGGAAGCGCTGTTTGAGAGTGAGGGGCCTCTGCCGCTTCCGGGGGCTCAGAGTCTGAAGCCGTGATCAAAACTTGACAAGGGCCTTGGTCCAGCTAAAGGGGCCCCGTCCAGTGAGCATTCCCGATGAAGTTGTGAAAATGACCCCAGACTCTGCAGAGATTTCTGCTCAGGAGGAGTTTTAGAGCAGGAGAGGACTGGGAGAGGAGGGGTGGAGTAGTTCTGATCCCCTGTAGAAGGTCTCTTGTCAAGATTCGTATTTGTTCAAACCTACCTGGTCCGTGTCACTTCAGTTGAGAGTTAACCCTGTGACACCAGTTTTTCTAGTCCCTTTAGCTGCTTAGTCATTGGGCTTTTTCTTCTTCCTCCTCCCACCAAGATTATTCATATACCATTTAGTGATTAACCACTCTCATTTGTGATTGTCTTCGTATCGTGTTTGACATTCTCATAAATTCTGATAAAGCCTGTGGGATTTTTGGAGGATAATCTGTTTCTGATTTCACTTCCTCTAAAATTTAGGTTATCTTCTTTGTCTGGCTTGGTGTTTCAATCAGTTGCTTCTGTCTACCTTAAATAGACATTAACAAGGTATATCTAATCTGCTAGGTTAGAGAGACCAGCGAGCAAGAACCTCTACCCTGAATTGGAGACAGAAGTTACTTTGCTATGAGGACGTAAAAGATTGCCTTTTAACCACAGAACTCCATTGGAAAGGGTTTTGGAAGACATGAAGAAAACCATCAGAAATGAAGTCAGCAGCCTCATGGCCTCTTACTGACTAGAGTGGAGTTTTATTTCGACAGTTTTTTTGGAACGACACCGTGCACGATGTCTACTGAGGTCATCCATCAGGTTGAGGAGGCCCTTGATGAGGACGAGAAGAAAATGCTGCTTTTTTTGTGTCGGGACGTTGCTGCCGATGTTGCTCCGCTTAACGTCAGGGACCTTCTGGATATTTTAAGTGAGCGAGGACTGCTGTCTGCCATGGGCTTGGCTGAGCTGCTCTACAGAGTGAGGCGCTTTGATCTGCTCAAGCGGATCTTCAAGATAGACAGAAGGGCAGTGGAGGCCCACCTGCTCAGGCACCCTGGCCTTATTTCAGACTACAGGTAACTGATTGGCAATTCCCAAGGCTGGACCTGGTGAGAGGGAGTGAGGTGGTCCTGGCTTACGAACAAGAGGAATGAGGACCGTAAGAAAATGCAGGGATTGTCCCCTCCTTGACCCACAGATTCGACTGCCTTATGATGTTACTTCATTCCTTTGAAGTCTTCGAATTCTTAGACCATGTTTGCTTGAAGTAATTGGGTAGAAGATCATAAAGGAAGTGGAAGGGCTGGGTAGCATGTGTTTGCCTGATGGATAGAATGAGAGAGAGAAGAATGACTCAGAGATAGTAATTCTTGCCGTCCCCTGAATGTGCGATCTGCAGTGGTCTTTCCTAGGTTATTTTCTGTGATGTCAGACTGGCAAATTCTGAGAAAGGAAATAACAAGACTGACAGTGATCTTCCTGACCTTTGTAGAGCTCTGTGACCCCCTCCTGAGTCCGCTTTGGTCTTTCCCCTGCTGAAGCTTTTAGTGGGGTGGGCTCCCTTTCTGTGAGTTCCTCTGAGGTCCTTGCCCCCTGACACTCAGCGGGCCAGGGGTGCAGGACGAGCATCCCCCCCAATTAACCAGCTGTAGGCCCCCTTCAGTTCTGAGAGGAGTGGTCCCAGGAGTCCCCTTTAGTTTAGTTTTTCCTTCCTCCTGTTTACCTTCTACTCTCTTGGGAGGTTCAGAGAAGCACAGAAGCCATGAGAAAGGCTGCATTTCTGGAGAAAGGAAGATACCCTGTAACCTTAAATTAATGGTTCCTTTTTCTCCAGACCACCAGCTGTCAGTTGTACCAATGACACATTATGTGGAGAAGATGTGTATTACCAAGAACTCTATTAAGGAGAGCTGAAAGCGGTGTAGGCCTTGGGAAGTGTCTGCAGCTTGAGGTCTAGAGGCCTGTTTCAAGTCCCAGTGACAGACCACATGGGCTGAGCCTGCCACTGACATTGGTTGGGTCTTCCTTTTCCCACTTGTAAAGCGAAAAAAAATGACGCAACCCGATTTCACAAGTCTGTTGGTGGAGATCAGTTGTACTAATGGGGTTCGTGAAGTATTTCTAGAACTGTGCAGCACCCTCCAGATGCCCACGTTCAGTATTACTGCTCTGGTTAGTCTTCCTTGTCTTCTCCTCTTCAACAATCATACGATGTCCGTGATGCTCTTGACACGTTTTCGGAGGCACTGGGTTTCAGTGAACAAGTTAGGGCACTCTCCGTTTCCTGTCTCCTTGCTATGGTGAGTGTGGACAGTTCCTCAGAGCCTCTGGGCAGAGAGACTGGGCATTGGGATGCTAGATTCATCGATGCATCTGTTTGGTGGCCTTTGTTTTGGGTCAACACATGCCATGTGTTTGGTAAGCGCTAGAGCCATATGGACGAAGCATCGTCCATCGTCAAGAATTTAAGAGCGTGGGGCACCTGGGTGGCTCAGTGGGTTAAGCCTCTGCCTTTGGCTCAGGTCATGATCCCAGGGTCTAGGGATTGCACCCCGCATAGGGCTCTCTGCTCATCAAGGGGCCTGCTTCCCCCTCCCTCTCTGCCGGCTTCTTTGCCTACTTGTGATCTCTCTCTCTCTCTCTCAAATAAATAAATAAAATCTTAAAAAAAAAAAAATTTGAGAGCATAATGGGGAAAACAGCCTTCTGAAGCAGTGAGGACAATGTCAAGGCACTAATGCCAACCACAGGGTGTCCTGGGAGCCCAGACGGAAGTGTGATGGTGGCTCCCACTGGCGCAGAGGTGACTGACTCAGGAGGAGCCCTCTAGACCAAGACACCTATGGTCACAATCCCCAGGCTCTAGATGCCTTTTACCCTTCAAGTTCAAGAGTGGCCAGGACATCCCAGGGATGACTTCCTTTAGAAGCTCTCAACTCAAAGTATGGTCCCTGGGTCTGTGGCATCGGCATCCCCCGGGGAGCTTGTAAAGCAGAGAAGACGAGATCACTTAGAATTCTATTTCTGTCTTCCGTCTTAGTCATATATGTTCTTCACTTATTTCATCATAATGTCTGGGGGAACTAGGGGATTCTTTAGGGAAGTTTTTATTCTCTGAGTTGTTTTTAGAGCAGTTAGTTGGAAAGAAAGGTACTCTTTCCTATTGAAAGCAAGAGAAGGACAAATTCCCTTTTTGAGTTCCCTTAAGATATCTTCCTGGTGTGGCCTACGCTTTCTGTTTTATGGGGTTATATATCAAATGGGGGCCTGAACTAGCCTTTTAACCAGTTACTGGCATAGTGGAGGCATAGGCTCTTGTTTCTTTCTTTCTTTTCTTTTTTTTTTTACTAGGATGGTATCTGAATTTACTAAAAAAGAAACTTGTCTGGTTTACAGGGTGCTGATGACAGAGATTGGTGGCAATTTGGAAAACTCTGATTTGTCCTCATTATTTTTCCTCATGAGGGATTATCTTGGTCGGAAAAAGGTAGCCAAGGATAAGGTAAGTTTTCTTTTTCTTGGTTCATGTTCCCAAGAGCCTATCAGAAGGTGGGGTGTCCTTGAATAGGAAGGCCCAAGTTGAGGGTGAAGGTAGGAAGTGAGAAGAGGAAGTTATTTCCTTAATACCGTTGATAGGAAGAGAACTGGTTTCTCAGTTGAGAGGAAATAGGGTGGCCCTGGGTGTTTCTCTCATCCTTGTATTTTATCCTTATTTCTATAAAAGTCAGAGGCCTGATTTAGGCATCAGTTTCTCTCCCCCGTTTGACAGACCATCTGGGAGGGTTAGGAAGTCCCATCTGCTCGTGCTGAGTGCAAACAAGTGGGAAGCACGAGTCCACTCCCATCTTGCCCTCCCACGGCATCTGCTTCCCCTCAGCAAGCCTGAGGTCAGTGCGAAGTCATTAGGCTCCATATGGAGATGGGGTGGGAGAAGGTTCTTGTGACTCATGTATTCAGGGAATGGCAAAAGTAGAGATTTGGGGCTGGAAGCTAGGTAGCAGTCAAGATCTCAGGGATGTTCTAATTGCTGGAAAAGTGTTTAAATTCCGTGTGGCCCTATGTGAGCCTGCTGGCCTAGGGACAGGCCAGGAAAACCTCAGGTCTCTAGATTATGACAATATGTTCTTAAAGGACCTGCCTTTGAGGACTCTGGTGAGGTGTTGCTTGAGAATTTCCTCATGTTCTTTAATCATCGTAGTTTTGTTTCTGAAATCTAGGCAGACAGGGTGGCTGGATGCCCCCGTCATCAAATGGATCGAATAGGAAAGAAAATGAAAAAATAGAACTTTTGTTTGGTGTCCCCAAATCAACTTATCTGCCAATCATTTATAGCAATTTCATGCTGATGATTATTTAAAAAAATAAACATAGAGCCTCAGTAGTCAAATGTTAAACAGAAGGGAAGTTAAAACCCAAAGCGGTGCCTATTTCTGAAATATAGTTCTTTCTGAATCTCTTTGGTCCAGGGCAAGTGACTAGCTTTATACCCTAACTTTTAAATTTTACCCCCTCACACCTCCTGAGTCAGATTGAGTTGGAGTGTCCAGCATTGACTGAAATATTTTAGGAACTTCAGAATTACATCATTGGGATTTTTCTAGTAGAAACTTTGCCTCCAGCTATCTTCTTTCTTCCCCTTTTTTTAGGAAAGCCCTTAGAGTTTTTCGGTAGAATATCCGTCAGGCCTTTTGGAAGAGAATAACGGCAGGAGGATTTTATTTTTTGGCCTGCCCTCTCGTGCTACTTCTTGATGACATAATATGGCCCACGTGTCTATCCCCAACCTCCGTAGGGGCTGTCCACCAGAAGACTTTCCCACCTCTTTCTCAATAAAATCCAGGAGTGTCATTTGCTCCTGGCCTTGGAGGGACTATAAAACAGAGAGGTCTGGTTTAGTATCACCGAAGATCACGGAAGGGGCTCCCCTTGTCACATTTCCTTGCTGCTACAATCACACAGCCTGAGGTTTGCACTTGGGGCTTCAGAGTCTGCCTTCCTGACGTTTGTTTCTTGTTGGTTGCTCTCTCAGAGTTTCCTAGATCTCGTGATCGAATTAGAGAAACTAAATCTGATTGCTCCCGATCAGTTGGATTTATTAGAAAAATGCTTGAAGAACATCCACAGAGTAGACCTGAAGACAAAAATCCAGAAATACAAGCAGTCAGGTGAGTAGGATTTTGGCCTCTCTGCGGCCTAAGGAAAGTACCCTGCGCGTCTGAGGTTTGGTTGTTAAAGACTCATTTGTTGGTGGGATGGAGGGAGCAGAACCTGAGTGTCGACAGCCCCCACTAGTCTGTGGCTAGAGATCACACCCCTTTCTAGCTTTCTTATCCCAGATCTGCTGACTTCATCAGCCCATACCCATGATCGCAGAGTCTCAGCCCTCCGCGGAACGCTGCCAATAAGTTCTTAACTTTCCGGCCTTCAGGAAGGAGTCTCATTTTCTGAGCAGGCTGGCAGCATCGTGGACATGGAGGGCTTCCGAGTGCGTGCCAAGCCCTGCTGTCTTGTTCCAGTGTTGGGCCTGACCCCCATTCAACTCCGGGTGGCATCCTGTCCCTTGGGATCCCCTAGCTAAAGTTCCCTCCACAAATGGGACCAGACTTACAGCGGCCTGCTTTCTCATGCCACCCCTCCCCCATTGTCTTTTAGACTCAGCCTCCCCCGTGGGCTCTGTTAGCAGGCTACTCCCACCATAGGGTCACGGCCTCAAGGGCATAGCTGAGACCCAGGGATCTACAGACCTCCCCTCCCCCCCAGGCAACCAATAAAAGATCAAGGGTTGGTGTAGCATTTCTAGTCCTTTCTTAATGACAGTGGGGGAATCATGTGATCTGATCTTTTGAATTTGGTAAGGTAGTTAGATAAAGTTCAGGGTATTCTGAAAGATGGATGATGGACCGAACTGAGCCATTGTTGAATAGTCCTTTGACAATAACTTACACATCTTAAGTTAATACCTCTCTTCTGCTTACAGCTCAGGGACCTGAAACATGTTATACAAATGCACTCCAGGCATCATTCCCAAATTTGAGTCTTAAGGATCCTTCATGTAACTTAAGGGTGAGTCTGGAGCAAATGTACGGAATTCCAGAAACGGTTTCAGAATGCTGATAAAAGTACGCATGTTCTCATAGCATGTACTTCATTTAATGTCTGAAAAAAATGTGGTAGAAAAATACATTAAAAAAAATATGTGTACCTTCTTATGATTACAAAGCCAACCTGTGTTCATTGAGAGAATTTGGAAAATGCAGAGAAATAGAAGAGATGGAAAATAAATCACTTCTATCCTACTAACTAAAGATAATCACTGTTAATATCTTGGCAGATTTCCTTCTAGTCTTTTTTCGGTGCATGTGTGTATACCTACACGTATACAGCTGAACATTTGTAATCATTGTTCATTTGTTCTTTAGAAAATTTGAATATTAATATAAATATTAATTTTTTAAAATATAAGTAAGTAGCACATTCTCATGAACAAAAATTTCAAGATGTATTAAAAGGATTCTTTAAGTATGTTTTCTTTTATCCTAGTTCCTTTCCCCAGAGACTGCTGTGGTGAACCACTTTCTTCTGTAAACCTCCAGAAATAGTCTACGCATGCCATCTTTCACTTTTGTTTTTTTTTTTCTTTTTGTGCAAATGGGAGAACACTGTGCCCATTATCCTGCGCTGAGAATTCTTGGAAATTGTTCCATATGAATGAACCATTTGGGACCCCCTCTATTTGGTCATTGTTTTTAATGCGTTCATATGGATCTACTTTCTGATATGTCTATAGCCATATATGTATATAGCCCTTTCTTGGGTGTGTATATTTATATCATTTCCAACCTTTTGTTACTGCAGTGATTCAAAATAAATATCCTCATATTTACCTCTCTGTGCATTTGTTTATTATTGGGCTTATTTTAACAATTTCAGCAGAAGTGTTTTTGTTACTGAGTTCTATTACTGAGTAATTGATTTGTGACCGTAAATATCACATAGTAACTTCAGGCTGTTGTGTTATTAAGTGGTGCAGTATATTCTCATAATTATCCTTGGTTAGTTTTTTATTTTGAGAAGTTAATCCTAGTAGGATAGCTTCATCCTCATAAAGATTTGTAGAATTTGTAGTTAGGTCTTAGGTCACAGTGCAAGTTCATGGTTAAATTATAAAAGCTCTCATAAACATGTGTGAGGAAAACATTAACTACCCCTGTAATAGAAATAGTTCCATGAAGAATGTGAGCTGTGAGATAACGCTGAGCACTAGAATTTCAGAGCTAATTGGGTATTGAGGATTATACTGTCCAACCCCCTCATCGAACAAAAAAGGAAATTTAAGCCTAAAGTGCATTAGTGATTGCCCACCTCTGTGGACCAGCAGAACTGGGCCCAGCCCATGTTCTTCCCTCTATACCATGCTGAGTTTAATCACCTACGTGCCAGTCATGCCATAACTTAAGTGTATCTGTCATTTTTTTTTTTTTAGAATCAAATATACTTCTTTTTTGTCCTTCTGAATCTCTGTGATACCAAGTCGTGAAACAAAATTGGTTTAGGATTCAAGATCCAGATTTTCTGAGCTTTTTCTACTAGCTTATATCTGATACAAATTATACTGCCACTCTGGGTTAAAAGCTTGACATATTTTTACTACTGCCTTCCAATTTTGTTGATGAAAGTAATTATATTCACTGTCTATGTAGCCTATTGGGAACCTAAGTGTTCTGTATTTAAATTTCTCCTTTAATTTGCTCTATTGATCGATGACCCCGGTCATTAATTTGCTTAGTCTGCAGGCACTGTGGCATATGGATTCAGTGAATTTCTCATAAAATTAGGAGGTGCATACAAGAATGCAAAGTGCCTTAAAAATTGCAGGGGCATTAAATGACACACGATACAACATATTATAGAATAATAAAGTTGCGTCACTCTGCAACACGATGCTTTTTAAATCGAGCTTTGATTCGACGTTGTATTTCTTTAGTAGCTATGTTCATGTGAATGCACATCCACGTGGGGTTCCAAATTCTGTATAGTACTGTCAGCTTCTGGCTAAGTCACTTGTGATTAGTGGTAAAAAGCAACTTACATGTTTTTCTTTCATTTAGACACAAAGACAGCTGCAGACACAGCTTAATGAATAGTATACTTCTCTCTTTTGGCTAGGGTAGCTTCAGAGGAGAACTGTCATTTGAAAGCTGAACCTATCAGATGGTTGGCAGTATGTGGTACATGTACCTTACAAAGGACCTGTCATCTGAGAAGAGAAAGGGTCGGTTCAATATTTCATTTTCTGATTAATTTCATTCTAGTCCTCAGAATTGTAGTTGATTTTTTTTTTTGTATCTGATTTTTTTTTTTTTTTTTTTTTTTGGTAGCTGATTTTTAAGAACCAAGCCCACATGTGGCTTATGTGCAGCTAGGCATTAAAGAAACCCAATAACTAGACATTACAGAAAAACAATAACTAGCACTGTGGTAAGTGCTTTGTGTACATTTAATCTTCACAAAATATTATAAGATGGCTACTATTATTATCCTCATTTTGAAGATAAAGAAACAGACATGGAGGTTAGATAACTTGCTCAAGCATACAGATTTGTCTGGTCTAGACATAGCCAGGTTTGTCTGGTCTAGAACTCCCCACTGTCTTTTTTCTTTTCTTCCTTTTTTTTTTTTTAGTATAGTTGTCACAAAATGTTACCTTAGTTTCAGGTGTACAGCATAGTGATTTGACAAGTTTATACATTATGTTATCACAAGTGTAGCTACAACCATCTGTCACCATATAAGCTAATATCATTGACTATATTCTTGGGCTGTGCTTTTTGTTCCTGTGACTTATTCACTCCGTAGCTGGAAGCCTTCAACCATTCTGCCCATCCTCCCACCCCCCTCCCCTCTGGCAACCATCAGTTTGTTCTATATAGTTATAGGTCTGATTCTGCTTTTTGTTTGTTTATTCATTTTTTTTAAAGTTTCCACATATTAAGGTATTTGTCTTTCTCAGTCTTATTTATTTCACTTAGCATAATACTTTCTAGTCCATCCATGTTGTCACAAATGGTACAGACTCATCCTTTTTGTGGCTGTGTAATATTCCATTACATATATATACTACTCCATATGTAATTATTTCAATATCTATAATATATTACATATTTATGGTGTGTGTATATATGTGTATATTTTCCCTATGTGTTCTTTACTGATAGACACTTACTTAGGTTGCTTCCGTGTCTTGGATTTTGTCAGTAATGCTACAATGAACATGGGGTACATGTATCTTTTTGAATTAGTGTTTTGTATTCTTTGGATAAGTACCCAGCCATGGAATTATTAAATAGTATTCCTATTTTTAACTTTTTGAGGAAATTCCTCCATACTGTTTTCCACAGTATTTAAACAAATTTACATTCCCACCAGCAATGCCTGAGGGTTCCTTTTTCTCCACATCCTCACCAACACTTCAGAACTCCCATTCTTAATCATACCATACATTGCCTCTGTGTTAAAGGGTCAGGTAGAATGTCAGTCTGATGTTCCAACAGCTTGTTCTAACTAGAAGCTGTTCTACAATATCATAACATCGCACTTTATTGAGCTGTTTTAAAACATTCTAATAAGCTAATTTAGCATGCTGCATGTTCACTGTATTTTCGTTTTTTAAAAGAAAGAGTTGCCTTGTTCTTTGGCAATAGAATACGGGATTTATGGAGTTAACTGTTCTAGCTCTTCTTTAGATAATTTAACTGTGAATGTGATAATTTTATTTTTTTCCTGGGTAAGAATTCTATGGAGATATTTAAAGAGGTGTGATATAAAGTGACTCTGAAAAAAACTAACGGGATGTGACCTTATTCTTTATATTTGAAGCTCCAGAATGGGAGAAGTAAAGAACAAAGATTCAATGTGGGACAACTTGACCTTCAAAGTAAGGCCAATTTTTCTTTATATTCATTCTTTTTTTTTTTTTTTTAAGATTTTATTCACCTATTTGACAGAGGGAGAGAGAGATCACAAGTAGGTAGAGAAGCAGGCAGAGAGAGAGGGGGAAGCAGGCTTCCCGCTGAGCAGAGAGCCCAACACTGAGATCATGAGCTGAGCCAAAGGCAGAGGCTTAACCTACTGAGCTACCCAGGCGCCCCTCTTTATATTCATTCATTCTTTATAAATGCTTGATAACTCAAGTACAAATTGTTGCATTTTTGGGGTTGACCATTTCCTTTATCTACATATTCTGATTAAACTCTCAAAGTAGATAGCAGTTAAATTCTTAAAATGTAGCCATTGGCATTTCTAATTATTTAAAGAATTAGCTTATTTGAATGTAAATACCTCCTACTCCAACAGCTTCATCATCTTGGCTATATTTTTAAGAGATGTGCCATTTATTCCTGAAATGGAACTATAACCAGGCTATGTTAAACATTAATCTAGCCATGATAACGAACCATGTTAAATCACATATCTGGCAGCAGGAAGAAAGAAGGTTACTAGGATATTGTTTTATAGCTCAGTTTATATATATATATATTTTTTAAGATTTTATTTATTTATTTGAGAGAGAGAGAGTGAGAGCATGAGAGGGGAGAAGGTCAGAGGGAGAAGCAGACTCCCCATGGAGCAGGGAGCCTGATGCGGGACTCGATCCTGGGACTCTGGGATCATGACCTGAGCTGAAGGCAGTTGCTTAACCACCTGAGCCACCCAGGCGCCCCTAACTCAGTTTTTTAAAAAAAGAAATTATTTATTTACTCGTCAGAGAGAACTCAAGCAGGAGAAGTGGAAGGCAGAGAGAGAAACAGACTTCCCGTTGAGCGGAGATCCCGAGGCAGGACTTGATCCCATGACCCTGGGATCATGACCTGAGCTGAAAGCAGATGCTTAATCAAATGAGCCACCCAGGTGTCTCTGTTTTATAGCTCATTTAATAAATCTAGATACTCTACAGATGACATCCTTCTACTCCTAAGAAGAAACAAAAAATACAGTAAAAAACTAGTCATTTCAACCCATACGATCTCTGTCTTCTCTCTTAAATATCATCACTTGATCCCATAACATCATTTTTATTTTTTTTATTTATTTAAAAAAAAATTTTTTTTTAAAGATTTTATTTATTTATTTGACAGAGAGAGATCACAAGTAGACAGAGAGGCAGGCAGGCAGAGAGAGAGAGAGAGAGAGGGAAGCAGGCTCCCCGCCGAGCAGAGATCCCGATGCGGGACTCGATCCCAGGATCCTGGGATCATGACCCGAGCCAAAGGCAGCGGCTCAACCCACTGAGCCACCCAGGCGCCCCCCATAACATCATTTTTAAAAGGTGTATTTCTTTTGCGTGACTTGAGGCCTCCCTGAAGTGAAGGCTGAGACTCGGTCTCTCACACTGTATTGTCGCTGACTGTGCTTCAGAACTCCAGGAGGCAGGGAAAGGAGGGCTCAGTCTTTCCCAAGGAGCTTGGAATTTGTCCCTTGTGCAATGGCGATCTCGAATGTTCCAGTAGAGCAGTGGCCTGATGGAAACCTTCTTTGTGTGGCAGGCCCCTTGCCAAAATCTTCTGAGTCAGCCTCCATGCTGTCTGCCTGCATCTAGAAACTGAGAAGTTCGCCCAGATTCACCAGATGGTACTGCTCATGCCTGTCATTCCCCACCTAATACTCTGCTCTCCAGCAAAAGCTACGGAGAAGTGAATTTATTCCTGAAGTGACAGCATGTTTCTCAAAACACTGGTGAGGTGGCAAGAATTAGCATTCCAAAAGCTGTTTAAAAAGAAAGCAGGAGACCTGGTAGATTTGGACAGGAATGAAAAACAAATTGGTGTTCTTCCCATAGTGCACCCTGATGCAGGCTTCTCCTTCATTGTAATAATACTGGGCGTTATAGGCAACGGATGAATTACTGAACTCTACGTCTGAAACTAACAATGTACTCTATGTTGGCTAATTAAACTTAAATTAAAAAAAAAAAGGAATGACACAGGTGAGATGGGCGAGGCTCCCAGCGCCCATGGTGGTCCTTCAGAGAGCTAGGGACCGGCTTTTGACTGGATCTGGTTTATTTGCTAGTGAAGAAAAAAGCGTTCATATTAATTTAGACTTGCAAATAGATCTGGATTGGATGATGATGATGATGACTATAATTTATTAAGCTCTTACTAAGTGCCTTAACCCTAGATGGGCATATTACAGTTTATTTTTTATTCTTTTAATCCCTGATTGCTTAAATACAAAATGAAAAAGAGAAATTTCCTTTTAATCCCAAGTATCAGATGACCGCTGTTAACATTTGATTTATATATCTCTAGACTCTTATTTTTAAGCATACATATGTGTAAGCATTTGCACACACACGTATTTTTAAGTACGTGGGATTAGTATTATCCATGTTATTCAGTAATCCGTTTTCACTTACTATATCCTGCGTCTTTTCATGTCAAATACATAAAGATCTTTCTTATCCTTCCTAACATGAATAGTATCCATCATACGTACCATGATTTATTTAGTCCACCTCATGTTGATGGATTTTTAAGTATTTTTCTAGTTTGAGGCCATTATGAACAATTACTCGGTAGATATTTTTGCATACTTGCTCTATTATTTCCTTAGGATAAATTTCTAGAAGCAGAATGTTGGTTTAAAAGGTATTGCCAGTTGTCTTTTAAAAAGACCGTTTCTTGGGGTGCCTGGGTGGCTCAGTCGGTTAAGCGTCTGCCTTCGGCTCAGGTCATGATTCCAGGGTCCTGAGATCAAGTCCCACATCAGGCTCCCTGCTCAGTGGAGAACCTGTTTCTCCCTCTCCCTCCACCTGCTGCTCTGCCTACTTGTGCGTGCTCTCTCTCTCTCTCTCTCTCAAATAAATAAATAGATAAAAATCGTAAAAAAAAAAAATAAATGAAAAGACTTTCTTTTTTAAAATATTTTATTTTTTTGAAAAAAAAAATAAAATATTTTATTTTTTTGGAAGTAATCTCTATATCTGATGTGGAGCTTGAATTTACAATGCCAAGATACAAGAGTCACGTGCTCTACCGACTGAGCCAGCCAGGTGCCCCAAAAAGACTATTTCAACTTACACACTTGAAAGTACTCATTTCCCCCAAACTTTGAAAATACTGACATTTTCATTGCTTGTCTTTAGATGGTCTCATTTTGGTAACAATCTTATAAGGTAGATGTTGGTATGTTCATCTTAGGGATTTAAAAACGAAGTGAAACACCCTGAGATTTTAGGAGGAACCTTGCCCGAGATCACAGAGCTCCCCAGTGATACTGCTAGGGTTTGAGGCAGACATTCATGACTTCAAAACTAGTGGTTTCTCCACCTCTCTGAGCGAATGAAGTCATTTTCCGCCTTATATTATCAGCTTTAGGCTTATCTACATTTGATTGGCTCACTGTCCTCTATCTTGCCATTGCCATTTTAGTTTATGACTTTTCAATATCACTGGACTAAGAAAACACAGCCATCTGTTGCATGAGTGACAAACACAAGCACAGTTTTCCCACTCAGTAGTCCCAAAGGCTGTCCCCTGTAGGCGTTGCCCACTGTTTCAGCACAGGGAAGAAAGCTATTGATATTGTCGGGTTGTGAGGTTATTGGAGTCTCCTTATCCCTTTAAAAATTCATCAGTCACCTGGCCCTCTTCTGGAGAAAGCAAGGGAGAACCTTTTGTTTCCCCTTGCTATTTAAGCAGTTTTTCTACCTACCCCCTGTGTTTTCTTATCTGTTACATTCTTCCGTGTGAGTTTGGAACCTTGGGGCTGAGTAGAGCTGAGCAAAGAAGAAACAGTAAGGGGAAGAAAATAAGGGAAGAGAACAGCTGAGAAATTGAGGAACCCAGATAGCATGGGAGTGGGCTCAGTTCTCCTTCAGCTTTGTAAGCGATTTCTCTCTCATCCCCCAGGAGAATCAGTGAAGGCGTCCATCCAGGAGTCAGAAGCATTTCTACCGCGGGTACAGAATAAATGATCTGATTTGGTATTGTATTGTATGCACAGTATCTGTGCAGAACGCTGGTTTCTTTAAGATATCTGTCCGTTAATAATTCTTTGGGACAAGAGGAGGATGCTTCGAGTGCCGTTCTCCTGGGGACTCTCCTGGGAACTCTTCCTCCTAAGGGAGAAGCCTGGATAGAGCAAAGAGAAAAATGTTGATGTGGATTGCGTTCGTGAACTTTGGAATGTGGGGAAATCCCAGAGTGGCAGTTCTCCTCTTAGCTGAGTGATTGCTGAATTTATTAGTAGCCAGCGACACTGAAACTCGACCTGGTCTGCCTTCTTTTTTAAAGGCTGAAAGCCTTCTTCATAAGGAGCCCGTAGAAGGCCTCCTTTTGTACTGGTTTGGAAAGATACCACTTGTATAACCTCAAGTTACTGTGGAAACGTATGACCCATCCTTTCTCTCAGCTTTAAATTGTCTTCATCCTGCCGAGCTCAGTCGTGTGCAAAGAGACTGTGATTTTCATTAAAATTAAAAACTGAGACAGCTTGTCTTCGGCACATTACCTAAATAGAGAAAAAAATGTGAAATTAATGGGAAACGTCAGCTGTGGTGACTTCAGGCTGGGTCTGTTGAATGACTCACCTGGCAACAGGACGTTTGAGGAAATCCAAAAGAAAAGATGGTATGCGTGTGGGACCTTGTGGAAACAGAGCAGTGTCCAGAGTTTTTAACCATCCCTGCTTTCCTTTCCAGCACATTCCAGAGGAGAGATACAGGATGCAGAGCAAACCCCTGGGAATCTGCCTGATAATTGATTGCATTGGCAACGACGCAGGTAGGTATGGAAGCTGCGGGTTACCCGAAGGCCCACAGTGAGGTCACGGCCCAGACAATCTGTTCACAGCAAACCGCAGCGGAAGTCTGTGGCTTCCATGGCGAGGGGTGCTTTCTCATTCATGTCACAGCCTGGATCGGGCTGGAGTGAGCTTCATTCCATGGGATCCTTCAGTGACATCATCATCTGAAGCCTTGGGGTTTTGCACAGGACTCTCTGGGTCTGGGTGGTGGATGAAGGAAGCGCGTGGAGGGTCTCCCCAGAGAGTTTAGGGACCAGTCCTGAAGGTGTGGTGCCTCATTCCCACTCAACAATCCATCGGTCGAACTCCCTTGTGGGCCCTCACCTGACTACAGGAGACAAAGAACTCAGCCTGGTTGTGTGCCAGGAAGGAAAGGAAGGGATTTGGGGAGCACATGGCATTGTCTCTGGCACAAAGGTGTGATTGGCTGAAAGCTGGGGAGCTTCCGTCTTGCTTTTTCATGCTGGATGCTGCGGCCGGGAGGAGTCCTGGCATCCAGAGTGGGGGTTTAAAACGGAAGGCTTTCTGGTCCCAGTGTTATCAGATGTCCCAGCACGTCATGCAACTAGATTATGAGAGCTTTTCTGGAGAAAAATAAAAAATATTAGACATGGGTGTTCACTTAGAGGCAGTGTGTTCCTTACTTAGTTCTTTCTCCCTGGCTTGGTTGGTCGGCCTTCGTCTGTGCTACTTGTGCGTTTCTCTCGTTGGGATCTGAACTGGTTCTCTTGCTCAGCTGTTGATGTCCTAGTCAAACTGGAGCAGGCACAGGGGAGCGTCAGAGAGAATAAGAATCTCATTGTGAAAGAACACGTTTAATTATTTCTCTCTCCCTCAGAAGGGTTGATTAGCACATTTCCACAGGTTTCCTGCTTTTCAGAATTCTTGGAATGAGTCAGAGCTGTCTTTTAGGCTCACTGAAAATGTTACTATGGTGAGTTCTATGGGAAGAGAACCTAAGAGAAGGTCAAATTAGCAAATATTAGGTTGAATTTCCCAGGATTTCAGATATGATCTCATTTTCCTCATGTCCTATTTTTGGTTAGATGTGAGACATGCTGTCTCCTCGGCTATAGATAAGTGTCCTTTCTCTCTTAACCATTAGTACCAGTATAAGAATGAGAAAATATTTCTTCAGTGAGTAACTTCCTGCTTTAAAAGAGAGTATTTGTTTTCACTTTCTATTATAATCAGTTTTGTTTCATTCATTAGCCGAAAGTTCCCAACTGCAGGATGTATATCTGTTGTATGAAGAGATCATAACGCCATGACCTGCTGTGAATTTGTGACTAAACCTCAGTATCAGTGTCTACATCCCTTGCTGAGTTATAGGCCTCTTGTGCACCAGGAATGAATATGTATTTATGTTTTCCTCTATTACTAGGAGCGTAGTCACAGGTGGGTCCTGGAATATGACTGTGTGGCTTTGACTCATGGCTCTGTCATATCCTAGCTTGCGACCTTGGACAATTTTCCTAGCCTCTGAAACCTCAGTTTCTCTTCTTCTTCTTCGTCTTCTTCGTCATCTTCGTCTTCTTCTTCTTCTTTAAAAGATTAATTTGAGGGACACCTGGGTGGCTCAGTTGGTTGGGTGGATGCCTTCGGCTCAGGTCATGATCCCGGCGTCCTGGGATCAAGTCCCGCATCGGGCTCCTTGCTTGGCAGGGAGCCTGCTTCTCCCTCTGCCTCTGCCTGCCACTCTGTCTGCCTGTGCTTGCTCTCACTTCTCTCTCTATGACAAATAAACAAATAAAATCTTTAAAAAAAATAATAAAAAAATAAAAGATTAATTTGAGGGGCGCCTGGGTGGCTCAGTGGGTTAAAGCCTCTGCTTTCAGCTTGGGTCATGATCCCAGGGTCCTGGGATCGAGCCCCGCATCGGGCTCTCTGCTCCTCGGGGAGCCTGCTTCCTCCTTTCTCTACCTGCCTCTCTGCCTACTTGTGATCTTTGTCTGTCAAATAAATAAATAAGATCTTTAAAAAAAAAAAGATTAATTTGAGAGAGAGAGAGAGAGCTTGAACACAAGTTGGGAGTGGGTCAGAAGGAGTGAATCTTTAAGTAGACTCCCTCTGAGTGTGGAGGCTGACCTGTGGGATTAATCCCATGACCCATGAGATCATGACCCATGAGATCATGACTTGAGTGGAAACCAAGAGTGGGACACTTAACTGACTACACCATCCAGGCGCTACTCAGTTTCTCTTCTATAAAATAGTTCACTAACAGGAGATATCTCATGGGGAGTTTGGGGGAAGTGAATGAATTCATACTTGTAAAGGTCTGAGAGCCCATACATGACCATTTCTACAGCAAGATGAGTGGATAGTTACACTGAGTGGAATAAAGGCTATCAACAGCTTCTCACCAGTTCAGGAAAAGTTTTGCCACAAAATGAATCACGGAAAAGAACTTAATGTTTTCAGAGCTTTTGGGTTTTCTGAATTGTGGATAAGGACTTGGGCATACGTGGAAGAGAGCTCTGGGGCTGCCTGAGGTGTGCTACATGCCTCTTTGACCTGCAGTAGACAGGCTTATTATTGATACTGTTTTCTCCTAAGAAAAGCTAGTCCAGAAGAAATGACTAGTAACCATTTGTACTTAAAAAGAAGATATCGAAAAGGTAGTTTATAATTTTGAGTGAATGTGGGTTGTCCATTAAAACGCCTTGATTGGTCTCTGGAAACAAATGAAAGACTTATACAAAGTCAGTCAGACTTATACAAAGCTGACTCTACCACCACTTCCTAACTCACTCATTCTGTCCTTGTTTATAATCATCCCCCTACTTGGAGGGGGGGGAGGTGTCCCCTTTCTTCTGTTTTGTCGGGCCCCCACCTAAATTAATATCTTTACTGCAGTCTCATCTCCAGGTGTCTCAGACTGCACTGATGATCTTTCCTCTGACTGCTTTTTTTAACCTAAAACCCCACCGTACTGTGTGACATACCAGTCATTGTTTTGTGCCCATTTATAAGCTCCCCAACCAGATGATAGGCTCCTTGATAGGCTCATCTTTATTTCCCAGCATGAAATACAGTGTTTCTGCAACATAGGAAGAGGAACTTTTTAAAACATGAGTTTTGGGGTCAAGATAATTTGAGAAATGATGAATAGTTTGTTCCTCCTTTGAGATTTGCATATTGGTCTGAAAGACTGAGCAGTCCTCCTGTAAAGAAACTTAACTCCCCTTCTCACTAAGAATATCCTGCCCGACTTGGCTCTCATTTGTATGCCCTTTTTATTTTTAAGATGTTATTTTCTTTATTTGACGGAAAGAGAGCGAGAGAGCACAAGCAGGGGGAGTGGCAGGCAGAGGGAGAGGGAGAAGCAGGCTTCCTGCTGAGCAGGGAGCCCTACTCTGGGTCCAGGACTCTGAGATCATGACCTAACCAACTGAGCCACCCAGGTGCCCGCATTTGTATGCTTTATTATAATTAGAACTGGGCTCGTACAAGGTGCTCATTAAGTAGTGGTAAATGGAATGATGAGGTACTCCGCCTTTCTTATTCTATACATTGGTTTAATGGACTTCTTTTTATAGATTGTGTCAAGATTAATGCAAACTCATTTAATTTTATTTTGTTCTAAGATTTTTTTCTTAGAAAGGAGAGGGAGAAATAGACCGCCCGCGAGTGAGGAGCCTGATGTGGGGCTCGATCCCAGAACCCTTAGATTATGACCTAGGGCAAAGGCAGACACTCAACCAACTGAGCCACTTAGGCACCCCGTAAGATTTTTATTTTATTTTATTATTTTTTTAAAGATTTGATTTATTTATTTGACAGAAAGAGCACAAGTAGCAGAGAGGCAGGCAGAGAGGAAGGAAGCAGGCTGCCTGCTGAGCAGAAAGCCCGATGTGGGGCTCGATCCCAGGACCCTGGGTTCATGACCGGAGCCAAAGGCAGACGCTTAACCGACTGAGCCACCCAGGCGCCCCGTAAGATTTTATTTTTAAGTAAACTCTACACCCCAGGTGGGCTTTGAACTCAAAATCACATGCTCTGTTGACTGAGCCAACCAGCACCCCAGTGTGAACTCATTTTAGATGAAAACAAATTCTAAATGAATGGTGTCATTTTACCGTATTTAGTTTTTTTGGATTTCATCTCAATAGCCCCCAAACCTTTTGGTTGGTGCTGACCCTAGCCCTTGTCTTAACTGCAAGGCCACACAAAAACTCATCATTTTGGGAAGTTGAGGTTCACGGAGATAGGGTTGGGTCAGGACTGGGGTTTCCAGGGAGGGTGGAAGGAGAAGTGTGACTTCTGCAGTTGCTGAAGTTTTATTTTCCAAACTCAGCATCCAAGTTTTTCTTCCCCATTTGAGGGAAATGACAAGGCAGCTTCTGTGATAAGTGGGACACAGACTCCAACTGCTCACCACACGTTTCAGCGTAGGCTAGAGAGACTTCCCTGTGGAGGTCCTGTCTGAGGAGAAGCTTCCGTGAGAGAGATGTGCTGCAGGCTCCATGAGGGGCTGTCTTCATTTTCTTTTTAAAATTAATATCTTACATTTGAGTAAGGACCCATAGTTGGCAAAGTGTCTTTACAGACATCTTACGGATCCTCACAGGCACCTTTTGAAGAACATGGTATAGGCATTAGTAGTACTCACAGTAATTACAGATGAATAAACTAAGACAGTTTGTCCAAAATCCCACGGTCATTACTCTGTTGATCTTATAAATCAGACTGGGCTCTGTCCATGTTCTTGCTGGCCCAAGCAAGAAAGTTGCAAATGCCAGCTAGCATCAACCCTCCCTCTAAGATAGAGGAAAGATGTGACATTACGGGACATCTCGACGATGAGGACTTCAGGCTGTGTCTTCTGAGGTGACTGGGCTACCAGAGGGATATTTAATGGCGGCTCCATCTTGCTCTGAGGTCCCTCCAAATTGCTGTCTTTATTGGCTTTGGGGGACTGTCCCATTTTTGGCTTCACCTCCTCTTTATTCTTCTTTCTCCTGTTCTATAAGGTAAGCACTTTCTGCCCCAGACGTCAGACTCCTGTCCCCTTCCTAGTCCCTCTTTTGGCGTAAGTTAGTTTTTCTAGGACCAGGCAAGGTTCAGACCCAGCAGATAGGGAGAGGAGCCAGGATTTAAACTTAGATCTTGGGATTCCAAGACTGGTTGCTCTTTTGCTGGCCCCATGCAGCTGCCTGCTCCCTGCTGTGACAGCCCCCACTCCCGCCAGAACCCACTGGGAACCCAGAAAAGGGAAAGAGATAGAAGGCACGGGACAGCCCTTGTTCTGTCCCTGATTCCTGCACATCAGCTTGGCAAGACAGACTATGGCTTTGTTTCGGGGACTTTGGTGAGGGAGGAAATCTGTTGGTGAGGAGAGGGTTTTGAGGGCAGGCAGGCAGTCTGAGAGAAGTAAACAATCGCTTCGAGTCTGGTGTTTCTCTGTTTGCTTCTGCCCCCTGGAGGAAAGAATACGCCATGACATGTGGGTCCTCAAACCAAGACTTGGGAACGAAGCTAGTGATGGAACTGGGGTCCTTGTCTGGGTCTCCGGTCCTGGGTTCCAGCTGAGCCCGGTACTGGGTATGGAAGGCTTGCCTACACCTGCTGAGGGGCAGGCCAGGGGGCAGCGCCTTTTCTACCACACTGAGATCCTGTGGGGATGAGTGAGCTATTATTAGGTTCTCCACCCACCTGTGTATCATGTCCTTCATGTTCCTCCTAATATTTATTTATCATAGGGTTTAAAGGAGATTGGCACCTTCTTTATATGTCTCCATTATTACGTGATATATAATTCTTTTTTCTCCCCCATTTACCTGTGGGCCAGACAAAAAGTAGGTACCCTAACTACATCCTTAAGTAATGGTTATTATCATTCCCTTTTCCTGATTTACCTGGTGAATTATTTATCTAAGAATGTGTGCAAATTACTCCAAAATCTAGTGGCTTAAAACCACAATAGGAATTTATATATTATCTTTCACAGTTTGTGTGGAGCAGGAATTGAGGGGTAGTTGAGCTGGGCTGTTCTGGCCCAGAGTCTCTCGGCAGATTGTGGTCGGATCTCAGCTGGGGTCATCCGAGGGTGTGACTGGGATCCTCTCAGGAGGCTCACTCAGGTATCTGTGAAGCTGGTGCAAGGCCTTAGTTCTTCTTCATGTGAGTCTCTCCACAGCACTGCCTGAGTGTTCTCGTGACATGGTAGCTGGCTCCCCCCAGAGTAAGCTGTTCAAAAGAGAGAAAGAGCCAGGTAGAGGCTGTATTCTTTTTATGATCTGGCTTTGGAAGTCCCATAGTATCTCTTTTGCCATAGTCATTAGAAATGAGTTACAAAAAAAAAAAAAAAAAAAAAAAAAAAAAACCCGAAAAGAAAAGAAAAGAAATAAATTACCAAGCATGGTCCACATTCAAGGAGGGGAAGGGAATTACACTCTTTTTAAGGAAGGAATGTCAAAGAACTTGTGGACATATTTAAAAGTGCTGTATATGAAAAATGTGGGGCCATGATTAACCCCAGCTCTCCTGAGGGGGCAGTTCTACTAGACCCAGTGTGAACATACCCGGCTGGGTACTGCCCGTGGGCTGGGTGAATTAAATTAAGAACGCTCAAGAGAGCTCTTCTTTGTCCAGTGGCTGTTTTTTCCAGCTTTTTGTTCACCCAAGGCTGTGTTTCTTTTTCTATTTTTCTCTTCCTATTTCCTGTTAAGAAGCTGGAAGAGAAATTACAATAGCGAACTTTCACTTTTATAGTTTATTAGGGGTTGGTAAAGCTTGTAGGGCAAGAAGGCTGAAACTCTTGGTTGAAGCTATGAGTCTTTTTTTTTTTTTAAGATTTTTATTTTATTTATTTGACAGAGATCACAAGTAGGGAGAAAGGCAGGCAGAGAGAGAGGAAGGGAAGCAGGCTCCCTGCTGAGCAGAGAGCCCGATGCGGGGCTCGATCCCCGGACCCTGAGATCATGACCTGAGCTGAAGGCAGAGGCTTTAATCCACTGAGCCACCCAGGCACCCCGAAGCTGTGAGTCTTACATCATGTTGTTTCCATTTAATGCAGAGAGTTGACAATTTGTGGCAAACAGTTGTGTGGTAATTTCAGGAGAGTTACTTACCTCTCCTTTCTGTGATGCCTTCACTGGTATGAGATGGGGCCCTTTTGTCCCTGGGTAGAAGTTCTGTCTGTTCTAATTAACTCGTGTGTTGTTTAATTTGGTTTGGATGCAGTGCTGGACTTCTGGAAGACCATCGCTCAGGGGATGAAGGGAGGTGGTTACATAGTCATGAGACATGGAGAGAAATCCAGAAAAGCTGGCTAGGAGTTTTGGGTAACAACCTGAAATTGGAGATGTCTGTTTAGCTTAGGGAATAACATTTTTTCTGCTCTGCAACTGAACTAAGAAATGTAGGCATCCCTCAGACAAGGAACAGAAACTTAATGGGGTCCTCAAAGGGATGTGGGATTTTTCATGAGGAAGAGAATGTCTGTCTCTGCTGTTAGAAAGAAATAACAAAGCAGGCGATTGTATTTATTTCTCTGATGAAGGCAAGCTGAGCAGATGGGAAAGAAATGAACTGGGTAGGCTATAGAAATTTCTAGAAAATGGAAACAAGATTTTTTAAAAAAGGGAATAGAGTCCAGGAGCTTTATTTGTATTATTTCATTTAATCCTCCCCGTGTGCTCACAGGGTGGGTATTGTCACTTCCATTCAATGCTGGGGAGACCCAATTCTTTAAAGTCACGCAGCCCACAGGTGTGGTAAGGTCAGTGTTAGAAGGCAGGCTTGTCTGGCATAAAGTCTGCCTTTTCCACTGCCTTTCACTCTTCCTGCAGGCAAAGTCAATCCGGGATTCCTGGAAACTAGGAGAGGAATTCTTAGGGGCACTACAGGGAATCTTGGCTAAGGGCTCCCAGTGCTCAGTCAGAGGAAACACTGAAGCAGGTCATGAGAGGAACTGGAGAGTCTGGAAATGGTCTCAGCTTAGATGTAAGGGCCTCTGTATCAGCCCACAGCCTGTGGACATGAGGGAACTTGTGACGCGGGCCGTCCTCTCTGCAGCCGTCTGGATCTAGATTTGGATCTACGCTCTGCGAACGCATCCATTTCCTACATACATACTTGCAGATTAGTTTAAGAAAGAGCTTGTTTGAAAAATCCAAGCTTTGTTTTGGTGGAAGAGAAAAATTTTTGGTCCCCCTTTGGTTGCATTGGATTAGAGGTGGGCTCAGTACGTGCCCGTGGCCAGATGTGGAGGTAGCGTCTAGCAAGGGACAGATTGTAACTGAGAACCTGGGACTTGAGGGTCGTGTGTTTCAGGTTGATTGCTTCCTGCCCCGAGCTCAGGTCCCTCAAAACCTCAAAATTATGGCACAAAAGCAGAAATGAGTTAAGTAGTGGAGATCGACTGGGCTTATTAGAATTGCTACCTGGTGTCTCTTAAACTTTTCTCACCCTAGTGTTGTTGTCTGTGTGTGTGTGTTTGTTTATTTTATCCAGCATTTCTTCGGGACACCTTTACTTCTCTGGGCTATGAAGTTCAGTCTTTCTTGTATCTGAGTGTGGACGGTATAATCCAGGTCCTTCGCCGAGTTGCCGGCATGCCTCAACACCGAGAATACGACAGCTTTGTGTGCGTCCTGGTGAGCCGAGGTGGCTCCCACAGTGTGTTTGGCGTGGATCGGACACACTCAGGGTTCCCTTTGGATCAGATCAGGAGGATGTTCATGGGAGACGCGTGCCCTTTTCTCTTAGGGAAGCCAAAGCTCTTTTTTATTCAGAACTACGTGGAGCCAGAGGACCCACTGGACAACAGCAGCTTGCTGGAGGTGGATGGACCAGCGGTCAACAACCTGGAATCGAAAGCCAAGCAGCCTGGGTCATCTACCATTCACCGAGAAGCTGACTTCCTCTGGAGCCTGTGCAAGGCGGATGTGTCCCTGTTGGAACGGTCCTCCAGCTCTCCGTCATTGTACCTGCAATGCCTCTCCCAGAAGCTGGGGAAAGAAAGGTGAGGCACCTGGGTGGGTTGTGGCCCATCCCTGGACCACTTGTCTCTTTTCTTGTTGCCACGATGGAGATGGCTGCTGTGCCACGTTGATGCTATTCTCTTCAGGGAGGAAAGGATTTTTCATTCCCTCCTGGGGATGCCTTAGGAGGAGGCACAATTTATGAATGCTTTGTGCTCCAGGAGGTCACTTGCTAGTCAGCTTGTAGTTTGGATCTTGTTCTTCAAAATGAGTAAATTTTTAATTGTCTTTTTAAAAAAATTATTATTACAAAAGCAGTACATTCTCCTTACTGGAAAAAAAAACAACAACGTGAAATTTAAATGCCAAAAGCAGACTATAACAAGCAGTGATAGGCCTACTTATTAGAATCAATTTCTGTTAGCCACATCTTGGCGTATTGCCTTCCAGATCTTTCTCGGATACCTGCATAATTACATCTAAATGTTTTTCAAACCAAAATGGAATCATCATCTACTATTACTTTATAACCTGCCTTTAGTTGGTGTAACAGTACATCACGTGCATTTTACATGTCAGTATCTGACAACATCATTTTAATGTCCATGGAACATTCCAGAATAAGGCTATGGCGTACTTTACTTGACCCATTTTCGGTCACTGGAAGGTGTTTTGCTTCCATAAAAGGAAAGCGTTCAGTATCTTTGTGGCTCAGTATTTGTGCTTATCTGTACTGTTTTCTTGAGGAAAATTCCCAGAAGAAGAATTGCTGTGTCAAACGACATGCATTTTGAAAGGCTGGGATGCCTTTCAGTCTCATCAGATTGTGCTCTAGGACACCTGCTCTGCACGAGAGTGCCTGTGTCTGCGAATTCTGCCCGACACCGCGTGCTCTTTTCTTTCCCTGTCTTGACCTTTTGAGGGAAGGAAACCGATACCTGACTCCCCACATCGGCAACTCTTTGTTATACAGACATATCTGATGTTGATTGCCAAGAATACTTCTCTAAGGGAAAGCTTGGTGATTTGGTTTTCATTTAAGAGGATTATTTCCATGTAAGACTAGCAGTCCATTTTCAGTTGTCCCATTACAATTTAGAATGAAATTTCGGAGCCATGTGCGAAATGCATTCTGTGGTAGCTCTGGGGACCCCAGGAATATATTGCACGGCCTGTGACACCCGCCTCCCTCCCTGCTCAGTCGCAGCAGCAAGGAAGGGACTGTAGTAGAAATGACTCAACTTTCCATATGCCAGCAGTGTTCTTGGCATCCAACCTGCATCTGCGTAGGGGATCCAGGTGTGTTACTATCCGGCTGGCGTGTCTCTAGGATAAGATTCAGTTGTCCCTTGAGTGAGGGTACTGTGGTCATTGGCCCGGACTGCTGCCAGCTGGTTTGGATCACTCACTAAGCAGCTCGTAGAGCATTTAAAAAGGAACAGTTTCAATGCACTGTCACCTCTGTTGGCTTCTTTCAATCTAATGGCAATCTGTCTCCTCTTTGATATTTGCATGGCATTAATTTTTGCCTTTCTTGTTCCCTCCAGAAGACGCCCGCTCCTAGAACTCCACATTGAACTCAACGGCAGCGTGTATGGTTGGAACAGCAGAGCGTCTGCTAAGGAGAGGTACTATGTCTGGTTGCAGCACACGCTGAGAAAGAAACTCATCCTGTCTTGCGAATGAACAGCCAAAAGCCTTTCCTGCTCCTGCCGTCTCCACCACTAGGCCAGAAGTAGTTTTCAAGCGAGGGTATGTGTCATGTGGGGAACATGAGGTCCTATATGTGCTGAAATGAGTCTCAGTGAGGACTGCGATCAGGGAGGCGTGTTTGAACTAAAGCCTCTGGGTGGAAGGCTTTGGTCTCTTGCTGAAAGTGTCTGAAGCCCGTGTTAGGAAGGAAATGGCTGTGAAACTTGAAAAACCAAGTGCTGGTTGAGTTGGGTGCCTCAGGATTATGTTGCCTTCCTTCGTGCCAATATGTAAACCAGAGCCATGGAGACAGGGTTGTAGTCACACATCTACCACTATCCTACTACTACTATAAATTTAGTGAAGGATATGAACATTCAGTGCATAGCCTTGTCTTTGTGATTGGACATTGTCTGTCTAAGACTCCAGTTCTAGTTCACAGCTAACCACATGCATTTTCTTTCTCACATTTGGTGGGATGACCTGAAAGGCAATCATTATTTAAAATTGCATTTAAAGGGGCGCCTGGGTGGCTCAGTGGGTTAAAGCCTCTGCCTTCAGCTCAGGTCATGATCCCAGGGTTCTGGGATCGAGCCCAGTATCAGGCTCTCTGCTCAGCAGGGAGCCTGGTTCCCCCTCTCTCTCTGCCTACTTGTGATTTCTGTCTGTCAAATAAATAAATAAAATCTTTAAAAAAAAATAAAATTGCACTTAAAGTTTTTAAAAAAACTTATTTTTATATACATATATATTTTTTAAAGATTTTATTTATTTATTTGACAGAGAGAGATCACAAGTAGGCAGAGAGGCAGGCAGAGAGAGAGGAGGAAGCAGGCCCCCAGCTGAGCCGAGAGCCCTATGTGGGACTCCATCCCAGGACCCTGAGATCATGACCTGAGCCGAAGGCAGAGGCTCTAACCCACTGAACCACCCAGGTGCCCCTTATTTTTGTATTTTTGACTCGGTGTTAAATTGGGTGTATCTGTATGTGTTAATGTAGTAAAATATTTCAAATCTTACAATAGCCCCTAACCGAAAATTCACCAAGTACTCGGTAATAAGGGTATGGTAATGATGATCTATTCACTGGCTGGTATTTTATGTAACCCTTAAAATTATATTTCTAAATAATAAAAGCTTGCATTGAGCTGTTATTAGCTCATTATATAAATTGCATGGATCATCTCATTTAATCCTCTCTCTGCAAAAGAGCTCTGTGAAACAGTATCCAATGGAAAAAAGACAGTCTCCTCAACAAATGGTGCAGGGAAAACTTGCCAGCTACATGCAAAAGAATGAAACTGGACCACTTTCTTACACTGTACACAAACACAAACTCAGAATGGATTAAGGACCCAAGTGTGAGACCAGAAACCATAGAAATCCTAGAAGAGAGCACAGGCCTAATTCCTCTGACATCAGCTATAGCAATATTTTTCTAGATGTGTCTCCTGACTCGAGGGAAACAAAAGCAAAAATAAACTACTGGAACTACATTAAACTAAAAAGCTTCTACATAGCAAAGGAAACAGTCAAGAAAATAAAAGATAACCTGTGGAATGGGAGAAGATATTTGCAAATGACATGTCTGATAAAGGGTTAATATCCAAAATATATAAAGAACTTACACAACTCAAGAGCCAAAAACCAATCTGATCAAAAATGGGCAGAATACACAAAGAGACATTTCTCCAAAGAAGACATAATGGCCAACAGATACATGAAAAGATGCTCAACATGACTCATCACCAGGAAAATACAAATCAAAACCACAATGAGATGTCACCTCATATGGGTCAGAATGGCTGAAATCAAAAAGAGAAGAAATGCAGCCGTTCTTTTTTTTTTTTAATTTTTATTTATTTATTTATTTTTAAAGATTTTATTTATTTATTTGACAGAGAGAGATCGCAGGTAGGCAGAGAGAGAGGAGGAAGCAGGCTCCCTTCGGAGCAGAGAGCCAGATGCGGGGCTCGATCCCAGGACCCTGGGATCATGACCTGAGGCGAAGGCAGAGGCTTTAACCCACTAGGCCACCCAGGTGCCCCGAAATGCAGCCATTCTTGAAGATAATGTGGAGATTCCTCAAAAAGTTAAAAATAAAGCTACCCTATGACCCAGAAATTGCACTACTGGGTATTTTCCCAAAGGATACAAACATAGTGATCCAAAGGGGCACATGCGCTCCAGTGTTGATAGCAGCAATGTCCACAATAGCCAAAATACAGAAAGAGCCCAGATGTCCATTGACAGATGAATGGATAAAGAAGATGTGATATATATCTCACATATATCTGATACACACATACACACACAATGGAATATTATTCAGCCATCAAAAACAATGAAATCTTGCCATTTACAAAGATTTGGATGGAACTAGAGGGTATTGTACTAAGTGAAATAAGTCAGAGAAAGACAAATATATGATTTCACTCACATGGAACTGAAGAAACAAAACAGATGAACATAGGGGATGAGGAGGGAAAATAAGATGGAAACAGAGAGGAAGACAAACCACAAGAGACACTGAATTCTAGGAAACAAACTGAGGGTTGCTGGAGGGGAGGAAAGTGGGGGGATGGGGTAACTGGGTGATGGGTATTAAGGAAGACACATGATAAAATGAGGACTTATATGCAACTAATCAATCACTAAATTCTACCACTGAAACTAATAAAACACTGTATGTCAGAGAAAGACAAATATCATATGATTTCCCTCATATGTAGAATTTAAGAAACAAAACAAATGAACAAAGAAAAAAAGAGGCAGGGGCACCTGGGTGGCTTAGTGGGTTGAGCCTCTGCCTTTGGCTCATGATTCCAGGGTCCTGCTCGGCGGGGAGCCTGCTTCCTCCTCGCTCTCTCTGCCTGCTCTCTGCCTACTTGTCATCTCTGTCAAATAAATAGATAAAATCTTTAAAAAAAAAAAGAAAAAAAGAAAAAAGAGGCAAACAGACTCTTAAATATGGAAAACAAACTGATGGCTACCAGAGAGGAGGTTATGGGGAGGATGGGTGAAATAGGCGAAGGGAATTAAGAGTACACTTATCATGATGAGCACTGATTAATATACAGAATTGTTGAATCACTATATTGTATACCTGAAGGTAATAGAATACTGCATATTAACTATATTAGAATTAAAATTTTAAAAAGGCAGTTGTTTATTGTCCTTTACCTTTTCATCCCTTCCTCTGTCTTGCTGACTAGAATGTGGATGTGATGACTGGAGCCTTAGCTTCCATCTTGAACTGTGAGGATAAGGGCTACACGTAGGGATAGCTAAATGGTGAGCAGGAAGGAGCCTCCTTGGATGAGGACAGAGTCTGGATTTTTATGTGAGAGGGAAAAAGTGTGAGATTTATATTTCTTTCAACCTAACACAGCCCAACTATGCATTATTATATGATTAAAATGTTTACAATGTTTATATGTGTTATGAGTGTAAACAAATTGTCTAGATGATTTAAATTTTCCAATTATTGTTTAAAAATATATGCACACTTAAAATCTGAGCTACCTGTATGTTTAACATGCATCTTGGTTGCTTCTAAGTTTTGGGATTGTGAAAAAGGGTGTGATAAACATTTGTGTGTTCATTTTTGTGGCTAGCTCATTTGGGTAAATATCTAGGAGAACAATTGTTGAATTGTATAGTAGGCTTATCTTTAATTCTGGAAGTAACACAAGACTATATTCCCAAATGGCTATATCATTTTGCAGAGTTCCTATTGCTTCACATCCTTGCCAGTATTTGATACTGTTAGTGTTTTGGATTTTAGCCATTTTAATAGATGTATAGCGATAACACGTTTTAATTTTTGATTACCTAAAGGCACGATAGTGAGCATCTCTTTTTTTTTTTTTTTAAGATTTTATTTATTTATTTGACAGACAGAGATCACAAGTAGGCAGAGAGGCAGGCAGAGAAAGAGGAAGGGAAGCAGGCTCCCCGCTGAGCAGAGAGCCCAATGCGGGACTCGATCCCAGGACCCTGGGATCATGACCTGAGCGGCTCAACCCACTGAACCACCCAGGCGCCCAGTGAGCATCTCTTTTATATCCTTATTTGATATGTGTATATCTTCTTTGTTGAGATGTCTGTTCAAATCTTTTGCCCATTGTTAAACTGTGTTATTTGTTTTCTTACTGGTGAGGTTTTTTTTTCCCTTAAGATTTATTTATTTGAAAGAGGCAGAAAAAGAGAGAGAGAGAGCAGGGGGAGGGGCAGAGGGAGAGGGAGAGAATCTTTAAGCAGGCTCCTTGCTGAGCATAGAGACGAACTTGGGGCTTGGTCTCATGACCCTGAGATCATGACCTGAACCAAAACCAAGAGTTGGATGCTTAACTAACTGAGCCACCAAAGCAGCCCTCTTCTTGGTGAATTTTAGGTGTTCTTTATGTAGAATGCCTAGGTGTCTCAGTTGGTTAAGCTGCTGCTTTTGGCTCCGATCCTGATTCCAGGGATCAAGTCCCACATCAGGCTCCCTGCTCGGCCAGGAGTCTGCTTCTCCACTTCGTCTACTGTATTGCTGTGCGTGCGTGTGTGCTCTCTCTCTATCTCTGTCAAATAAATGAATAAAATCTTTTTTTTAAAAAAAGAATGTATATTTTGGATATAAGTCCTTCATCAGATATGTTTTACAAATATTTTCTGCCAGTCTATGGTAGAAGTTTATAATTTTAATGATACTCAAATTACAGTTTGTTTGTTTGTTTGTCTTGGATTGTGCTTTTAGTGTGTATCTCAAAAATACCTGTATTTTTTTTAATATTTATTTATTTGACAGATAGAGATCACAAGTAGACAAACAGGCAGGCAGAGAGAGAGGAGGAAGCAGCCTCCCTGCTGAGCAGAGAGCCCGATGCGGGGCTTGATCCCAGGACCCCGAGATCATGACCTGAGCCGAAGGCAGAGGCTTAACCCACTGAGCCACCCAGGCGCCCCCAAAATACCTGTATTTTTAACATACATACATACGAGCTACCTGTATGTTTAACATACAAACCCAAGGTCACACAAACTTTCTCCTATGTTATTTCTTTTTAAGATTTTATTTATTTGAGAGGTAGAGAGAGCATGTGCGTGTGCTTGCCCACACACTGGTGGGGGGTGTCGATGCAGATTACAAGCAGACCCCTTGCTGGGCATGAAGCCCAAGGCGGGGCCAGGTCCCAGGATGCTGACATCATGACCTGAGCCAAAGTCAGACCACTAACCACTGAACCCCTTTCCTATGTTATTAACCAGAAGTTTTAGAGTTTTGCGTTTTGCATTTAAGTCTCATCATTTTGAGTTGCCTTTTGTGAAAGGTGTAAGGTCTTTGTCTATATTCGTTCTTTTGTTTTGATCCTTGTATTTAGAGCTTTATATTGAATATACCAATATATCTGATGTAGGTAACATGTCAGGAGTTTTAAATCAATACAATGATATTACTTGTTTCTTTGTATACAAAGCACAACTTGTGACTTAAAAAATGAAATAAAAATTACGTATTGTAAAAGGGTCCAGTTTGTTTAATATATAA